TGGTATAAAGTCTGGCTAATGTCCAACTGGGCTGACATGTGAACTGAGCTGGTTATTGTCCGGAGAATTCACAGCCTAAAATAAAGGGAGTATTTCCAGTAGATGAGAATGTGTTGTGTGCTGCGGGTGTGAAATGGCAACTCTGGATCATGTCCTGACCCGATTTCTCCAGACATTTATCTGGAATTCATGTGTGAAAATGACTACAGACTAACATTTGAACACACAGAGTTGATTTAAATCAGTCATCATTACAGTCTTTAGAGAGGTATAAATATCTCTCATGGTAAGAATATATTCACTAAATGCAATGATGGAATGAATACATGTTGTCATGTCCAAGTAGTTCAAGGGACAGTGCCAGATTTCTCTCCACAGATTCCAAGCTGTCTGCTCCCAGCATGCCAATCTGTCATGTCCTTGTTCACATCCTGCCCCTCAGAGGATGCCCTGTTCCCAACCTCAAAATGCTTCCTGATTTAGCACAACCTGATCTTATCGCTAGCAATTATACACAGAGTGTGATGAATGCCAACAATGACAACATAGGCTCAGCAGGAGATCAATAATCTCTGTGGCACTGTCTTCATGTGCATCTCAACTTCAGCTGCGTTCAGTTCCTCGGAAGGTGAGAAAAAAGTTAGCAAAATACGCCGGTCATTGGTTGTGTGCGTGTGTGAAGGAGAAGGTCAGTGCAGGTGGAGTTAGTCATGCACGGGTCGTTCCTTCGTGGGGCAGTGAGCAAGTCTCAGTAAAATGAGTGTAGCAGAGGCACTGAGGGTATATCACATTGCACTCCGTGAGAAAGAATGCCGTTTTAAGGTCATAAATCAGAGATGGGGCAGAATTTCGCGCCTTTCTGCAGCTCAGCAGGCCTGTTTACACTGACGTAAGTGCATTCAATAGACTGCCACTAAGCCCAGCCTGTCACTCACACGCTGCTCGATTTCCTCATCAAAGAAGTGTGTGGTGGTGTGGGGTGGTGTGCACCAAAAAAACATACCACAAAACAAAGGATATCCTGCACCTAATCCTGCTTTATGGCAACCAATCTAACAGCACCTTAATCTACAAATTCAATGCAAACATCAATTCAAGTCATCATCAAGTCCAAACATATTCTCACACTGAACACTTAGAGAGCTACACTCTTAATCTCATGTTTTATTAACCCCAGTCCCTTTGTATTCATTGGAACCTATATTGCGTTGTTGATGTTTGTTTTACAAATGTGTCACACCTCAGTGTTACGTCCAGTCCGAAGTGTAACCCCTTTGAAAGCAGAGGGCTCTTGGGCTTAATAGTTTTATTGTCCTTCACTAAAGTGATAAATTATTCCTGAACAAATTCCTGCAGGTAAAATAAATATCATAAACTCGGAAAAATATCAACAGAGGGGTTCTGTTTTGGATCAATTTGAAACGACAACCAACCAAGGAAAACAAGATGTGGACCATAAATTTCAACACAATTTCCTTGGCAGACCCACCAAACTGAGGAGCCCCACAAGAAAACACAAGCAAGGTGTCCAGCAAATAATTCACGGCAGCTTGTGCAAGCATTCGTCAATTGCACTGAGACAGACACCAATAACTTTTTTTGCCCTGTTAACTGCCCTCATGTTGTTAGGTCATGCAAAAATAAACACAGGAGACAAAGCAATGGCTGGTTTTAAATGTAATGTTCACACTAAAGTAGTCGTGTATAATGAAAAAACACTTGCTCAGTCTAATCTTAAATCATTGCAAATCAAAACACCAATTAAAACACCAACTGAACCGTGATAGGAAAACCTTTTTAGTCAAGAACAATAAAAAGCAAACAAATGAGTGTGGTAAGGAGTGCGTTTGTGTGTCTTAGTATGTGTGTGCACGTGCTTATGGGAGTTCCTGTGTGTAAGAGGCTTAAGTGTAGCTCATGTAAACAACAAACATGCAACGCTGGTCAAGAGAACCTGTGTGGCCGACTTGCTTAGGGCCTGCAAGGATCATGCTCTAATTTGTACAGTAACAGGAAACAACATCTTGACTCAACTTAAAACAACAGAGTGACCGCTGTACTACAAAACCCTCCACTTTACAAATAACACAAACAAAACACTTTTCTCCCCTAATAAAAAATACTTGGTGTGCATTCATCTTAAGGTAGAAAAGTTGAATTGGCTGCAGATTCCTAAAAAAAAAAAGATCTGCCCTGATGCTTTTAAACAGGATGTTGGAGATATCATGTGGTGTTTGATTTCTTCCTCTGCTCAGCCATCACCCTCCATCATTCCAGTGGCCCCTATGACACTCCCTTCTCCAGCCCCAGCCCTATCTGCTCACAACAGGAAATCATGACTCCTTAAAACCCATCCTGGACTAATCCTGGCGAGAAACCAAACAACACATTACAATCTTCAAAAATAAGCATCATCTGAAGCTCTCTGTCTGCTTTTAACATTTTCTTTTCCATATCAATAACTAACCGTACTGAGTTTTGACTGCTACTGTTTATAAGCAGCACATTCTGTTCCTTACAATTGTAGTTACCTATTTGTTTATGAAGTGGCCTTTAAAAATAGATCTGCTATGAGTGTGTTATATCCCTAAAAATGCTTATTATATTTTTGCCTAATTATCATTATATATATTGAAAAAAAAAAAAACAATTTTAGTGACTATAATGCTGTTGCATGATATATGAATGAAGATTACACTTGTGTATTAGGGTGTGCTCCTCCCCACGATGTGGTGGCCACTGGAGCAATAGAAAAGTAACTCAGCAGCAGCTAGCGGCCTTGAGGACTTGAGGTCCTGTAGACGTAGTGGGGCTGAGAGGACTCTTATCCACAGCCTCCCGATCTTCTCTATCAGGTTATCCCAGTGGGGTTTGCCTGATAACATAGCCTTTCTGATAACAGTAGCCCAGGTCCCAGACTACTCTGGACCATGCTAAAGCCATTAGCTACCTCATTACTCCACCGGCTGCTGGCCTATCACAAGCCTGTCACCGGCCCAGTGGCACCTCACCAGCTACGAACCCCCGCCAATTCACTACTGTCTTACAACCAACAAGGGACTCATCACAGGCCGCTGTCTACAGGAGCCAGACCCTCTGGTTGGCATATTAAAAAGAAAGGACAGTTTGTTGTCTGAGAGCATGTGCTCCATAAAGATTATGATGACAAACAATGAAAGTGTCAAGAGTAGAAGAATTTAAGTGTTTGTAAAGAAAGGAGTTGGAAACATTTCTAGTCTCTAGGCAACCTCTGAACTTTTTCTGCAGTTTTTCTTTCTTTATTGCAAACCAAGGTTTCATCTAAAGGTTTTCATGTTTGGAGATATTGAACTGCACTGAAGTAGTTCTCATTAATTCGCAATTCAATATTTGGCTTCAATTAACTTGTGCAATTATTTAACAGCTCCAATATCATCCAAACTTGTATCTTCCGTGAGATTAAAGATGAACTGCAGAATTATGCTTTAAACATTTTTGTAAACTAAATAGCTCAAATGTAAGAAACTAAATATTGTGCTTCTTTACAATATACTGAACACTTCAAAATGTTTTGTATTGATTGTAAAAAAAAAGAATGCTTTGGCACATGATTTGTCACATTGAGCAGCAGTGGCAGTATGAGCAGTAGTAGAGGTAGTAGTGAAAACAGTGGCTGCAGTAGTAGTGGCAGTGCCAATTTTTGCACAGCATGGAGTGTGTGAGAGTGTCTATATTATTCCTCAGATATTTTCAGCTATGCATTCACAGCATTTTCAGAGCCAGAGGTGTTGTGACAAAGTACGTAGTCAAAAACTTTACAGGTATAACACTAGTCAGTAGTCTACTGCTGCTGAAGCATACAACATGTTTTAATAATGATAAATGCGAACAGCTGGACACATCGACAAGCAAGAGTTTACAATACAGTCCTTTCTTTTCATCTGTTATACCATGACACAATGACTGACAAAAATAAATGAGACATGCTGTTCATTATGATGGATTACCAAACTTAGGCAAGTTTCACATTTTTGCAAGTTGGTTTTCACATCCCGCTAAAAAGAAATCAATAGTGTCTGGAATGTATGTAGTCTAAAAACTTAAAGCATGTTTTATATAACAAACACCATGAATCTTACTGTTCAACTAAACTTCTGACTTTGAGATATTTTGGATATTTTCGAGACAATACTTGCACAACTAAGGTGCTGAAAGCTGGTGACACACACGAGTGGGGCAGACTATAGTCTGTATTTAGCTGTGTGGCACTGCTCTCTGCATAAGAGAACAATGGCTCAGCTGGCAAACAGTGGTTTTATCATCATATGATGTCAGCTTAAGCTTTTATCAAACACTCCCAAGTGAAAAATGGATGCAGGGGGAATGAAAAAAAAAATGAAAAAAAGACTGGATGTTTGAATGTGTAACAATTCAACTGGGGGCTCTATCATTGCTCATCCAAATTATAATCGCTTTCCCCAACAAATAGTTGGGCTTGAATTTTCTACCTACTCATGCATTTATGCATGTCTGCACATACTGAGAATTTGTGTGTGCTTGTGCAAATGCATATTGAAATATACTGAAGTATTTTTAGGTGTTTATGTGCCTGCATGTACATATGCATGCATCTTTGCATCTGGGTATGTACCTAAACAGTCCCTGTAAAAGTGATATTTAGGGTAAAGAGTAGTGGAATGAGTTATATTTGCAAAATGTGCTGAACAACAAATGAACTGTTTTGATGCTGTATGTGAAGATATTAATGCTTTTTAGTTAGACATAATACATAGTTAATGATATCATTTCAAAGTACTCATTAAAGAAAGAATAAAGAATTAAAAGAATAATCTAAAAAGAAGAATTTTGCCACTAGAATAATCGAAGGGGAAACCTAACAGAGAGAATATCTAGGAACATCTTTAATTACAGTGCACATACAGACCCTCAAATACCAAAAATATGTCAGTTTTACAGAGCAGAGGAATTTACAGTTCAAGTAGTAATATTTTGTGCCTCACCTCGTTCCTCCAAAGAGGATGATTCGATCTCCAACCATACAACAGCACTGCCGTCTCCGCGGGCATGGGCCTTTCCCCTTCGGTTCTACCTTATTCCACGAAAAGGCTTCTGTTGCGTGTAAACACAAGACAAGAATAAGTTGAGATAACAACATTTAGACATAATGATGGAAAAAAATAGACACACATACACCTGGCTCATTTCTTCTGCGATGGAAGAATCTCAGTAAAACTTCAGATTACATCCGTGCCTTAAATAGCTCAACAGAGGGATTTTTGGAGCAACTCATTTTGCAGCAATACAAAGTGTCTGCCATTTAAAGTTACAGAAACCCACTAGTGCTTCCCATCCTGCCAAGGGAACAGGGATGAGGGAATGAAAAGGGATGACTAAAGCAATAGCACAAAATTTAACATTTGAACACAATCATTTACATTTCAGAAATAGAATCAAATCCTTTCTTCTGTTCTGCTGAAGTGCAATATCAGTGACGAGGCTGAAGCTGTCTCAGTTGCTCCATATAAGGATGAACTGTGAAGCCTCACACACTCAGAGCCAACAGCATCATAGCATCTCTATAGCAACAGGGCATTCAGACTTCAGTGGGTAATAATGTCTATAACTGAGGTGCTGCCATCTAGTGGACTGCAAAGACCAGGTTTAAATGGTTACCAGCAGAAACCAGGTTCATGATATTCTAACACCATATAGTACACTGCATTGATGATGAATACACACCCGGTGTGTTGCATCAGCTTTAATAACAATGCTTTGTTGTGAACAAGAGAACAAGGTTTCTTCAGGAAAACACTTCAGCTGACTTGAGAATCAATCTGGCAACAAATGTAAGAGCAGACAAAGACTCCAGTGAATGAATTAGTTTTAATTACTTGCATCAGTTTTTGATGTGAGTGTGTTTCTGGCAAAAAGAGAACAGGGTTTTTCACACAAAAAAAAGGAAGCTGCCAGCCACTATCACAAAACTAACAATGGTGTCATAAGAGAGGAGAGGACTGTCTACATGACTCTCTCCAGGGGGAAAGTGGGTCAGTGCCAGCTAAGACTGCCAGTGCTGCATTCCCTCTAACAGGTAAACAGTCATCAGCTCAGGTAGATCAAAAACAAAATTACCATGCACTAAGCAAAGACACACCCAGTCTGACATAAATAAGTAGTGAATCACCTGGATTGAATTTCCAGAGGTCGTTGAAGTGCCGGTCCAGGCGGGCATTGTATCCTCCAAATATGTACAGCTCTCCATTGTAGGAAACTAAAAACAGAAAAGAAAACCCAAAAAATGACCCAATTTTTTATGGTCCATCATGAAGATCAATGACATCTGCAGCACAGTAAATGGAATCATGTGAACCAGTTACATTAGCTGCATTTGTTTCATCAGACAATGTAGGCAAAAAACACATTCTTGTACTAAGTAGATGCAGAATGAACAACACTGTTTACTCTCCCACTGGACAAACAACAACAAAACAACAAAAAAGAATCCCTGCATGAGAATGAGAGGGAGACAGCACACGCTGGGAAAAGACTGTAGTTTGTATATAAATGAATCATCACAATAAGAATGTATGAAAATGATTCCATAAGTTCTTCCTCTTTAAAATGTATTTTTTGCTGCTATTCAAACTAAGAGAACCATGGTAGTTTAAAGGAGTGAGCTGGATCATTAACCTCGCCAAGTTAAAAAGATGAATAATCTCATAACACCCAGAGTTTATTCAGAAATGTGTTCATCTGCCGCTCCCCAAAAACAGTTTTCTAATCTATTTTACTCTCCATATTTTATCAGTAGCGGAAAACAATTCAGATAACCATATCTCAATGCGTTCTGCGCTAAACTGTTATCTTATTTGAGTATACTTCAGAATAAAACAATTTTATTTAAAAGATAATGCCAAATTTTCTCATCGTGGTGATTTTGTTTGTGTGTTTGTGTCTTACAGGCTGAATGACTCCTGCGTCCCTCTGGCAACGGTTGTGTCGAAGGTGTACTCAGCCAGCAGTTTGTCTCTGTGTCGAACACTTTGATCTTGTTGCAATAGATCTCGTTGTTAGAGTGGAAGGGGCCGAAGCGGTCGGCTCGCCCTCCAAACACGAACATCTTTGTCCCGATGATGGTGGCTGAGTGGAAGTCTCTCCAGCGCGCCGGAGTGCCCTGTGAAGAGAAGACCAGCAGATGATGCTGTGATGACTGCTGTACCTTCGCACTCCATAAAGTTTCAGTGGAGAGACAGAACAGGACAGAGAGCGAGGACAGTGGATGTAACCTACAGACTTTTATTGCATTCTTGAATAATACACCTCATAAACTGGCTTCAGTTTCAAACTCTCCAATGTCTCCAAACTTTCTATACTCATCACAACCCTGGATATAAAGCCTCATCCCCACAGTGGCAAAGAGGAGGCTTCTTGTACAGCAACTTCAAGTAAACAGCACCATCTAGTGGACCACACTTGGCATACACTAAATTCAAACCTCTTAAGCCTTTCAAGAATAATGTAGTTATGAAAACATTATATAGATTTTTGGTGGAAATCTAGCTCAAAATAATAATGTAGCTTATACTGTCTGTAGTTACTAGTGAACAACAAATAAAATATACTATATATACACAAAGGAGAAATGTGATCTGTTACCACAGAATGAGACTATGCTCAACAAAGGCATGCTTCTACTCCCTTTGCATTTAGCTGGCCTAAAGCCACGGCAAAGCCTTTCACATGACTTCCTTTCTAGAATGTGCTGCCATTGTTTTCCACAAATTTTATGCAGGCAAGCAGGCTCTTTAACTGGCTTTATAAACAGAGCAGTGGGAGAAAAAGAACATCTTTTAAAACAATAAGGTTGTATAAATTATATGAATAATGTTAAAAAATTTTAAATTGGCAGCTTAATGAAAATAAAACTAATTGTAAATATCCAAAACCACTGTGCTCTAGGAAAAAACATTTCTTGAGATGATAATGGGCTTGGTGGAAATTGAAATGAGTACAATAACAAACAAAGTGTATTTAAAACAAATTCACCTTTACAGAAAACAGGTTTTGAGTAAAAGCACAGCAGGTATGTTTGTTTTCCAAAAGGAATGCAAGTCTGGGAGCACGCAGAAAAATGTATTACTCAGTCACATGCTCAATTAAATCTATAAGCAGCACACTGTAATCTCTGTGATGACAAAATGTTATCAGTTAGGAGCTAAAAGTAGAGAAAGGACTTCCTCTACCATTCCCTTCTTAACCATATGGAATGGTGTCTATGTTTAAAATACACTTTACTAGAGACAATCACATGAGCAGGTTGACTGCATACAAGCACAAATGGCATTTCCAAAAAGGGGAGTGTATATAATCCTCTGTGAGGCTTTTTGTACTTGGCCACCTACCAGGGAGCTGCATTACATTGCAGTGTCTTTGTAACCAGCCAATTTGACCAGTGGGCGCTTGTGCAGCAGTACTGCCAACCCCAGTAATAACCAAAGGTTTGTTGATCTCCAACAGTGCTTTGAATGTAACTGAGCTTGTTGCCAGTCTATTCTATCTTTGTGTTTCTCTGAGTGAGCACTTTGTGTCCATTTTTATTTGGACTTGAACATTCAATCTGTACACATAAGAACTAAAGCACTTTTTTAAATTTTTTGTAGAATAACAACTGGGGGTTGTAACTCACTCTGGCATTAATTAATGACCAAACCATGGTGGTGGTGTCCAGCTTGTGGATGTCATTGGAGAAGCAGTCAGCCTAAAAAACAGCAGAGGAGATTAATTAAGGCGTGTTTTAATGTTCAGAGAGCAAGTCCCATAGTGAAGAGCGATAAAGACTCACCAGCTGTTCATATCCTCCAAATATATACATTGCTTTCCCCAAGACGCAGGCTGAGTGGCCATCCCTCGCCCCTGGAACAGTCCCCGAAATCTTGGGTGTGAACCATCTGTGGGTGTCTATGAAGCAGGAATAGTTTATATTAACTCTGAGCATACTTGCGGGGGACCTAACCTCTCATTTTACAGTTGTGACATAACTCGAGTCATCTGCAATAGAAAGTCATCACACATATAAAGAGGTGTTTGAACTCCCTGACATAAACACAGTTTTCTCTCCCATTTGCTGTCACGACCTGAACAGCTAACAGGTGCATCTCAAGGAAACACAGCCTGAAACTATCACTTAACAGCATGAGTTAGATGCAGATCTACTTACTGACATCAAAGGCATAAAGCACATTGCAGGCCCCCTCTGTGTCGTTACGCCCACCCCAGAGGTAGATAATATCATCCAGCAGCACAGCTGTGTGGCCATAACGCATATACGGCACTTCACAGGCACGCTCATGTCCTCCCGTCCTCACTGGAGGCAGCTTCATCCAGCGCAAAGACACTGAAGTACAAAACAATCAGGAAAGGAATATTTATTCAGTTATGACAGAAAAAGAGTATATTGTCAATATTTGCCTCAATGCCAAAATAAACATAACTACAATACCATACTGCAGAGCAATGGTAACTTTGAGACAGTGAACCTCGAGATACATTTTACAAGAATAAAAAAATTCAAAAGCCGCAATAATAATTAGTGAAACAATTAGGAGCTACATGTGCAGAGATTTAAATATGAAACTTAAAATAAAGTTCACTAGCAGAATTTCTCCAAGTTCTTACAGCTGTCTGACAAACCTACTGTTTTTGAACCAATGTATAGTAAAAGAAGATGTAAAGCAATGTCAAACATCTGAATGAAATCCAAACTGCTTTTTTGCCATTTTATTTTTTATGTATTTTGAGAGGCTCAAAACAGAAAGTGTTTGAAAAAACAGACAAGTTAAGAAAAAGGAAAAAACAAAACAAAAGGACAGAAGGGTTGGCATGAAAATAGACATCAAAGAGAAGGAGCACAAAGCAAGTGACAAGATAAAATACTGAAACAATAGGTAAGGTGGTCCCGTTTCCATTTCAATCAGCTGAAGGCATCTTTATCAAGGTTTGTTTCCACAGATCTTTTCATGGTATGGCAATAGCAGGTAGGCACAAGCTACTTTAAGGAAGTTGTAAAACCCTTAAGCAGGTGGCTGACAACACAGAGGGAAAAGACATTATAAAATGGGTTACAGGGAAGAAAAGGGAGCAGTTTTATAAAAGTTACAGCAGCACATTTAAAGAAAACACCTGTGTTTGTGAGATAGCAATGGAAAAACAACTAACGGAGACATTTTCACAAACCGCAATGGAAAGTTTGGGGTTTTAATTGCCAGCTGCACTGAGTTACCGTTATAGTGGTGAAGGTTCAACAACCTCTAAAACACTCTGTTATCCTTATTTCCTAATTTGAAAAAACAAATATTTTCTTGCTTCATTACAGATAAAACACTGGGAAAACATTGGGACACACTAAATTTGAGTACAAGCAAAACCTACAGCAGATAAGTACGAATTTAAACAAGTTCATGTAAATATGCTGCACATACTGGATTTCCAGTGCTGTCCCAATGTAAAATTTAAACACTTTTCACTGACCGTGAAGTCAGACTGCTCTTGAGACCTGAAAATTGTATTCTCATTATTTCTTAAGTTGTTTTCCAGTTCATAAAACTGCAAGGGGATGAACAACCAAGTTTCCATATGAGTTGCACTCACTAACAAGACAAACAGCTGAAAGCAAGATATTGATTCAAGAATTCATATGCCTCCTAAATTATGAGACAAAATTCAGGACCAATGGGATCCATAGATATATATGTATATTCACCACCTACCTGTGTTGAATACATGCACGTCAATCTGACGGAGCGTCTCGTAGTCTTCCCCAGAGCAGTAGCCTCCAAAAGAGTAAACCTTGTGCCCCACGGCCACAGCAGCATGGTTGACTCTCCGCGGCCCTCCTTCTAGGTGCACCGACCAGCGCAACATTCCACGCGCAAGCACCTCTGTGACTGCCAGTCCTTAGACCATCACTTTGTCGCCTGCTTGGACCCCATCAAGCAAACCCCCTCCAAACCTGGGATCACGAAAACAAGAGGGGTAGCACTTTGATTAGGAGACCAGTGGGGCAAACTGGGAGGGAGGGGCAATCGAGGAGAACACAAAGGGGAACTGTTTGTCCTCATGGGCTAAGAGTTGCTCAGCTCTGCTGTTGCTGACAGGCTCACAAGCCCCTGTATTATCTAAACTGGGAGAGTATTTTAAGAGGTGATTAGACCCACACCTACCACTCTTATTTCTTTCTGTTCACTCTTATCCCTGTGCCCTCCCACTGCACTACAAAACATTTAAATATAGAATCATATAAATAAATGTGCATCCCTTTTAGGCAACACCATATCAGTAAAAAATCCTATATGACTATCATTACACAAACTGTGTCAGTAATGTTTTAGCAATAATGAAAGACTATTAGGTTACTGAAGTGTTATGAACTGAATGTGTTTCTAATCTACTGAGAGAGAGCCATGACGAAAGTGTCATTTGGCTGTCTTGGCAGTTAGCTTTGCATGATTGGATGGTCATGCAAATCAAAAATGTCATCTAAGTAAAATCTGCAGCTCGTAGTTTGATGTCAGCTTGTAATTCAACAATAATACCAGCAAAAAATTACAGATTAATATTCACTCACTACCTGTATGACTTACAGAAACTGCCTGCAACTTATGAAAACCAAGTGAACCTGCCTCTTGCTAAACCCTATGTAGCCCTGCTTTTTCCATCCCAATGACTCACTTTCTCACTGACCTCCAACCTTTGTTTGCTCTTAAAAATAAACCCCCAGAAGACCATTTAACATAGACCTTTCTATTTCTAGCCCACATATCTCCGAAAAGCAACACAGTCCAGATCTAGGCAACATGCAAATGTGAGTCTTAACTTAAACAGAGTCATTGTTTTGTTTACCACTTTGTCATTGTTTAGGGGCATCATGTGAAAGCTGCCATGTAAACTCGAGAACACACTTGGGAGTAAACTGACTCCTCAAAATGCAACAACAGTCACAGGTTGATGGCAATATTGCCTCATCTTTGCTGCAGTAAATCGGTCTCCTGTAGCTTTCCCTGTATAAATTAAACAGCAATTTTCGCAGTTCTCATGTTGTATCATCCTCACGTTGACATTGACGACAGGGACATACATCTTTGTGAAAACTGAGCAGGGTGAAAAGCAGATTCTTCACCCTCCTGACCCACTGAACAGGATATTGTTGATATCAGATGACTAGCCATGGCAACTTCATAAGACCACACTGGCTTTGTACATAATGGGACTCGGTTAACAGACAAGAAAATCGATGCATACTACTGCACAGGTCCCGGTTGACCATGAATATTGGGGATCTACAGATCATTAATTGATGAAGCTCATCTAGACCCGATGACATTGAGCTGCAACACGGTTCACACAGTACAGTTAACGCCTCATACACAAGCTAGTCGACGTTAGCTATCAAACAGGAGCAGCACACGTATAAGGGACGGCGACTAACCGCCAGGGTCGCTTGTCTCACAAAATCTACTTTAACAAGAACCGTGTATTGATAATAGCGCTCCTGCATCCAGCTGTTTGATAGCAAACTGTCCTGGAGGAGAAGCTGTTGCTAGCCAGGCTAAAGCTAATCTGTAGAGGCTTATTCAGCTGTTAGCTAGCTAACCTGAACTGAATTTAAAAAAAGACCGGCAAGAGTTAAAACACTGGCGCTTATTTTCCAACCTTACGAACCGGTTAGCTAACAGACAACAATATCAACAGATGAATATGATTTCGCTACCTTTAGGTCGAGTCGGTTGTGGTTAACTGGTGTTTAGACAGGCAGTGCTATCTAGTGCTGTCCCAAAATGAACGAACCAATTCTTTCTACCGGCATGTTCCCGAGTTCGATACGAATCGAGTTTTAAACTGGTACCTACTGAGTCCAGGAAATAGCCATGCTCCCTGTCTAAAAAGACACATTGATAAAAGCTTTCGTCTTGCCCAGTCTATTTGGCTTTAATGTGTTGTCAAACTAACTACCAGTTTTATATTTATCTAACTACCATATATATATATATATATATATATATATACAACCTTAAATAGTGTTAAAATTTCTCTTGAGTACCATGTGACAGACTTAACTTGCTAGTTGCAGGTAGTGACTGACGTGTTTTCCCCTCAGGTATTTAATGTAGCTGTATATGCTGCTGATGTTCAATACTACAAACCTGTATAATAGACTCAACTGCTGCTGACACCAGGGGTCATATTCACTTGCTGCCTTCAGCACGTCCCGTACATGTCCAGTTCAGTGCTTATGCCTCCTTCCCTGATTCCTTCATGTACCAAAGTGAGCCAGCAGACTCAGTTTTTGTTAGGCTGTTACTTGCTAACCTGAGGATGTCCGTTATTCCTGCCGTCTGCAGACTTTGGATAGACTGGCTCCTGCAGTTCGGTTAAGTTACACAACTTGCAGTGTTAATAACTGTTTTGCATTTTGATTTAAATGCTTTTGTTATCTACAGGTAATTTCCTATTGTGTTATTGTCATGATACAACTTACACGTGATACTCGAAAACTCGAAATACTCGAAAAACTCGATACATTCAAATCACACTTCGGTATCCCGGCACTAGCGCTGCCCACTGAGAGCATGGCTGTGAGCCCCTAGCGACTCCCTCGTGACGTGTAGGGCGAAGAAGCGTCCACTAGCATCCCCTGCTGGCTGTTTTCATCCTGGAGAAACACACACATTCACACTGAACAGGACCCTGTGTGTGAATTTCTGAGTCTTCACCAATACTAATGGTTACTTGTAGTGTTTACTGATGTACAGGTTAGGATTCAAGTTTTCACATTTTTTACCAAGGCATTCTTTACATTTCCAAAGGGGAGGTATAGTGTGTTCAACCAGCTTGGCCGCATTAACCTGTTCAGAGGCCATGGGCAAAACATTTTTGTTGACTGGTGACCCCCACCTCCCACTCTCTGTGTATTGTATATTTAGGCCTACCAGTTGCCTCCAAGTTTCCATTAAGAACAATGCAAACCTGACAGCAGCAGCCTGTGATTGAATGAATCAAGGTTTTCCATGTGTCAGTTTGTGTTTCTTGGATTTGACAAAGGTAAACGCACCATGTGAGTGAAATATAAGATGAAATAATGAATGTCTTATTGTTAGATTCTGACATAGGGCCTCTCCACAAGGCAGGGCCAAATGATTAGCTAATAAAGCAGGAGCCATTTTAATTAATATGGTACTTTAGCAGTGCAAATTCCCTAATGAATTTGTAATGGTTCCTCTTCACAGACAACATTTTGACATTTAGCAGTAGGAAAAGCACAGGTATAAATAATTAAATGAACAATAGCTGCTTTGTTTTCAGGTTCATGGCATTGTGCATCATTGTGCTGGCTTACTGTTATGACTGATTGTGACACTTGCATACAACAGAGCCATTGTTAATGTTATTAGTAAAACTTCTGCTTTTCCTACTATGGCATTTGTCTATGGTGATCAGTTACACAAAATATGCCTTTTTCATGACTTGTGTCTATAATTCTGTTTTCTCTTTTTTCTTGTGAATTTTTCTAGGCATTTTTAAAAGATCCTTCAAATTACACAGTCTGAGAACAAAAAATAAGTTTTTGGTTACACTTCTTATTACTGACATCCATTTTAAGGCCCTAATATCCACATTAAGTTGTCATAAGTCAACAAGGTTGGGAACCAGTGTTGTAACAGACTAAGTTGGTGAAGGAAGAAGATGGAGAGCTGATGAAACCCCCATCCCTGTTGTTTAGAGTTGTAGCAACCCAGGTGACTATTTCTGTCACACACAATGACATAATTGCAGCAGTAGATGGCGCTGTTACACATTGTTTTAGATTGCCCATGAAGTTAGCAAGCTGTTACAGCCCCAAATACATCGACTCCTGCCCAAAATGTTTCTAAGAATATGATCCACCATAGGATTACTGGTCAGATAATGTGACCAGATGATCCAGTTGGTCTGGTTGAGGTACACTTGGGCAATGCACTCAATAATTTGATACTCTGTGTTGGCTGCTTGCACAACAGCAATTCATGAGGATTGGAGGTCATAGTCAGAGATCTCAATGATTTAGTGTGAAGTTCTTTAAAAAACAAAAAAACAAACACTTGAGCATGGTAGAAGCATACTGACACAGGCTAGTGTATAAATAAGCCTAACACCCTCATCTTATTCTAGTGTGAAATTATGGTCAAATGGAGGAAATTATTAGGTATGAATGTGTGTCTGGAATAAATAAAAGTCCGTCATTTTAGAAAGCACTTCTTCCAGCACAATGTGGTCAGTAAATAAGAATGTGCTGTTGGGCAGCTTGCCTAGTTTGGAGAATAAAATAGCCTTCATCCGAGTTTGATGTGGGCATGACTGACCCAATCCGACTGTGACTGAAGTCCAGGTGATGGGGCCAAGGATAAATGAGAACAACTCTGGTGGAAGTGGCTTTTTTGTAGTATGTGAAGCCTATCCCATACAGTGAATTTTAGTGGATCCCATTAAACAGCCTGTTTCACACGTCTCCATTGTAACTATGACACCTCATGTAACTTGACTTTGCTACCTAATTTTTTAAAAGCATTGGATTACAAAGGGGTGGCTTTACTGTGATCAGCTTGGTTCCAAATGGTCAGGCTGGAGTGAAAGTAGAGCCTTGTAAAAGGATTATGGCACTGAGGAGCTATGTTACAGCTGCCATGGATCTGCCCGTATCACCGCCCAGGTCTGGTCCACTTAGGAGGGGCTTTGATTGATTCATTGTGTGTAGGCATTCCACCCCCATGCCAGCTGCACGTCACGCACAATGGTGAGATTGTGGCTGGGGCTGCCCAAATGACAGCTGCCCATGGCTGTCCCTTGGAGCTCTGATAGGTGGTTACAGACCACAGACGGACAGCCATTGAAAAATAGGTTACAATACATTGTAGGTGGAGCAGACGCTAAAATTATTATCACTTAAAAAGTTAAATCATCTTGATCTCTGTAGTTTGTTGCCTTTGTAGAGTCAATATCAATGTAATGTCAGTTCAATAAAAATACGTCTCATCTTCCTTATCTCCAGCTGTTACATGAAAAATCTTAAATAAATTCTGATTTGTAGATCCCAAAAGCTGTCTACTCAGCAATCCTTGTACTCTGTTGATGTTACACAGTTGTTGTCTGATGATGTTATTGTCTGGAAGTGGACCCAGGATTTTCTGGAAATGGCTTGGATAAGTTTATTTAAATGATCACATGTCTGGGAGACAGGATGTTATTTTGTGTAATTGCTTTGTTTTTGAGCTATTACATCCAAACCTCGTATTGCATAATGATATGGGATATAATACTCCAACATTATACTAAGGCACGCATACACCTTCCCCTAATAGATGTTGTGCCTGCAGACCTAGTCTATAATAGTGGAATTATACTGCCTATTCACCAGCAAAGAGAAAATGATAAGACTAGCTTGTTTATTCCTGAAAATTACACTAACAACTGGCTTTATTTGGTTATTCCTGTAATTGATAATCTCATAAACATTTAGAGTTTCTCTCTTGCCTGATCTCTCGTTACAGAGGTGATATGTAATAGTTCCAAAAAGTGAGTTTCTCATCTCACAGGAACAGGGCGTGCAGCCCAGCCCAGTGAGAGTCTTTGTAATCTCTTGCAGCTACACCCAGTTTGTTCTGCCGAAAAAGTGCAGCCTGCCATCCCACCTGTCAGCATTTGCACAGATTGCGTCACCCATCTGCCCTGCTGAGCTACGCTTTGACACATTTGCTTAGTGGTGTGTTTTACAAACTTTATAGCCAACACATGTGGTGTCTGTCTGCTGTTATGCCTTGACATAGAGAACAGGAGTTGCCCAACTGCAGCATAGCTCTGCAAGTCAACAACAACTGCTAAAACCAACTGTTGTTCGGTATTCTTGGGCAGGCCCAGTGATGGAAGAGCTTTGCAATGCTTTGTGGCAGAGAAAAATACAGCCTCTACTTAGAAATGGCTCATTTGGTTAACCTTTTTCTTTACCATGGCACATAAAAGTCCTAAGTGTGCTGTTATTATGAACAGTGAAACCAACTCCATGCAAAATAAACCAATAAATGAAAGGAAAGGGAAAGAACTGTTTGTTGATGTTGACATGAAAAACAAGTGCTATAATAGTTAAGTATAATTTTGTAGCACTGTTTCCGCCTACTTCTCTATTATATTCAATTACTGTATGGAAATTGCCTGAAAATGTCATTATCATGTTTTACACTAATGGAGCCACTGAGGTTCTTCCATAGTTTCCACTATGTATTTCCATTGCATGGGCACAAAATAAGAAACATTCTTGCAGGAGAAAACAGTCATGATGTCTAGGCCATTGACTCAAAAATGGTTATACTCTGCATTTCAAGTCATAACTGTCATAATATAAAATCCTGCTATGAACACATGCATCCACCAGCTCAGGCCGGTGCTTTACTACAGTGTGCCGAGATATTCCACGGATGTTTAACGTACTGATTTGACTTCCGCTGTAGCTGGATTAGGTCAACAGCATTAAGCAGTCCAGAATGATGTCATAGAGCATGATCTAACTCTGTGGCCAGATGATTAAATCATACATTTTCCTTTAATTTGGGGGTTATTAAATGAACAGAGCTCCTCTCTGTGAGTTACTAAAGAAGATGATTGGTATGCGCCTTAGGTCATTTTCTCGCTTATGGTTCATTTGAAATGCTCTGAAATAGGAGTGAAATTAGTACTTTGTTGCAGCTTTTTATTGGTTAGGCTATGTTTCCAATTACCAATTAACCAACAAGCCGTA